ACAAAACAAAACAAACCACAACCCTCCACTGGGCCAGATGTTCATTAGCTACAACTTGACTGCAGTAAGTTTGAGGGTTTTTGAGATATTGGAGAAGGAGAGGAAGACCTTCAGGGAGATACAGAGACTATAACAATGGCCTTGAGCACAGACGAGATTGTGAGGATCACGTAGGAGCAGAAAAGGTCTAAAAACCTTGTACAAGAAACTACTGTAAAAGTCAAAGTCCTCTAGGCAGCAGTTGGCTTACAGTGGTCAAAGCTGGGATTTCAGTAGTAAGATTACAAAGAGGAGCACACTCAAACTCAGAGTAAAGACATATGTTGTTGTTGTTCTTGATTGCCTTTGAGTTGAGTATGACTCATAGGGACCCTATGAACAAAAGGCCTGAAGCCCCTCTACAACTATCGACATTTATCAAAGTTCTTAGTGTTTCTGAGGTACGTTGTTTAGGAAGTGGAGTTATATTCTCAATTTTGTCACAAATCTGTGTCAGTTTCCTCCTCAGAAAACAAAAAGATTAAGCTGGATGATCTCTGAATTCTTTCTAACCCAACCATCTATCATATGATCAGTGAAGCAGACGATCTCTCCCCTTTATTTTACTCTTTAAGGTGTTTCTATCAATATATTTTTGAGTTAACAGCAAAATCCAAGATTATCACTATTATTTTAAAATTGCTTTCCAGTGGTGAGATATGATCATTACAATAACCCAATAAAACCATGGTTTCTCACTCACTGAGTACTTATTTAAGACCCAGTGCATCCTTGGAGGGAGATTAGCATAATGATGAATAATGTATACTCTGGGGCAACACTGTGTTTTTAAATTTCATATTCAGTGATTATCATATGTGACCTTGGGCAAATTAATGACCTACCTTTGTTTTCACTATCATAATTTATGAAATGATGATGCTAATAGTACCAGGAGATCTAGTGGCCTGTTGTTCTTGTATGTTATCAAGTCTGAACAATTGGGGGAGGGAGGAATTACACAGGAGGAGATATCCCCTCCTTCTCCCATAGACAGCCAGTGGATTTGAACCACATACCTTTGGGATTGCAGCTCAGCTTCTTACCACTAGGCCTTAGCCCTGCTTAGACCTAGTGGTAAGAACTTGCCGCTGCTGACCTAAGGGCACTTGACTTGAGTCCACCAGCTGCTCTGTGGAAGAAATATAGGCAATCTCGCTCTGTGTAATTTAAAGCCACTGAGAACTCACTGGATGGTTCCAACTCAATGTCAAAACAACAGTATCCAGCTGCAAATACTTTGAGCATCTTGCTAGGAGGGGCCGGTCCTTGGAAAAAAGGCATCGTATTAGGAAAGATGGAGAGTCAGTGAAAGAGACAAGGACCCTCAGGGAGGCAGATTGACACAGTAACTATAACAATGGCCTCACGTATATCAAAGATGGTGAGGATGACACCAGATAGGGCAAAGTTCAGACCCTCTTTGTTCATAGAGTCTATATGAGTCATATTCAACTCGACGGTACTTAATTGTAACAATAGTACCTACATCTTAAGATTTTCAAAACTGTGTTTTTATGATAGAAGACTAATGAATGACCCAGAATGTCTCATTACCTTTGGATAGGAACCGTCTCCTTGCTGAACCTCCAGCAGGTTTCCAAGACTGTAAATGGCAAGATGACAGGAGAGGAGATTCCCCATCTCTATGTGCAGGGACGATGGTGGATTCCAAACAACAACAACAAAATGCAAAACCGTAAGGTAAGAAGCGTACCTCCTGTGGACTAAGCCAACAAAGAGGAGAAAAATGAAAAAGATAAATCAGAAAGCAGATCAATTATTAAAGGATATTTAAGAAGTTTGAAAGCAGGAGTGACATCCCTTTCCTAAACAACAGGCCTCCAGAAATTCTATGAACTTCGATAAATGTTGATAGTTGTAGAGGGGCTTCAGGCCTTTTGTTCAAAGGGTCTCTATGGGTCGTTCTCAACTCGATGGCTATCAATAACAATAACAACATTTAAAAAATAAATATGCACAAGTAGTAAAATATTATTGTGATATAGGAAGACAGTATAATTTAATACATCTTCAAAAATATTTAGGGAAAGAAAAGGAGAAGCTCAATCTTCTGAATCACTGTTCACTTACAGAGGAGAAAGAAAAGAAAGGAGAGATGATGAGAGGAGGGGAGGAGGGAAAGAAAGGAAATGGAGGGAGAATGTTTAAAAAAAAAAAAGACACTCAAGTTGACACCTTTGAGCTGTAGTGTTGTAGAAGAGCACTGAACATCCCATGGACGGCCAAGAAGATGAACAGGTAAGTCTTGGAGAGAGTGCAACCGGAGTGCTTTTTAGAGGTAAGAATAATGAGGCTTCACCTAACTTTGGACATGTTGCTAGGAGGGGCTGTTCTCTGGAGAGGATCATGATATTGGGAAGAGTGGAGGGTTGGCAAAGGAAAGGAAGACCTTCAGCCAGGTGTATTGACACTGTGACTGCTGCAGCGGGCTTTTCTGTCAGGAAGTGTGAGGATGGTGCAGGATAGAACAGGGTTCAGATCTTTTGTTCATAGAGTCACTATGAGTTGTGCTCGATTCGATGGCACCTAACAACAACAACAACATTCCCACAAGTAAGGACAAATTAAAATGAGAGAGAAGAGTAAATAGAACACAAAAATTCTAAACTTTGTTGCTATCGAGTCAGCTCACTGCTGACACTCCAGTGGTTTTTCAGTCTGTAAATCCATGAGTAGTGAATATACAGATAAACTGTATAACATTAGGATTATTCTAAAAATTGCAGTTTAATGTCAAAACTAGAAAATTCTGTATATAGGTAGTGTTCTGCCCACAAAATGCCCCTCAAAAGAATGCAAATACACGCATGTAAATACAAGAGCATTTATTCTCCAAAATAATTCCACATGTGGAGACTTTTCTCCTTCAGTAGGAAGGTGGCGAGGGAAAAAGCCCCAAGTTTCACTGCACAACTGTTTTTAAGGCCTTTCTGGGTGCTACTGTCAGGGCGGGGAGATTGGGAGCATGGTTGGTGGGCCAGGGGAACAGTCATGTGGGTCGGCTTTTGATGGGCTGGCTGCTTTGCCCGCTTTCACTCTTTTTGTGTCAGGTAGACACTAGTTAATTGTTTACTTTGCAAGGACAGATAAGACTTTACCCGGTGCATTTGTGTTTGCTTTAAGCTAAGAATTTTTATGGCCCGCTTCTGCTTCTGGTATTGTTTTTTTTAAAAAAATGGGGTTTATGCTCTCTTCTCAGTAGGAGATATAGGTTTGGAATAAATGTGCAAAAAAATTTCCTGACTTTTAAAAGCTAGCAAAAATAGATAGATAGATGATAGATAGATAGATAGATAGATAGATAGAGATTTGTATTGTCTATTTTAAAACATCTGATTTCATTATAGATTGCCATTATTGTATAGCATAATCTATGAACCAATGTTATAAATCTATTGATTTATTTGTAACATATGTTCCTTTTACTAATTGCAAATGAGCAATAAACATCTGTCAAAATATTAAAGCCAATTAGATTATATATGGTGTAGCTATTTTCTGTTTACCTGGTTTATTAATTCTGAAATTAAGTCAATTAATTCTGAAATTAAGCCAATGAGTTGTTTTAAGTTATTTGTTATGACTTATGTATCATATAAAATAGTTATGAAGACACTTTATCAGTTGATTAAAATACATCTAGGATTTTGTCCTTGGTCATGAAAACCAGTAGTTCTCTCATTGAGAATAACTGTATATACTAAAAACACATCTGAGGCAACAAAATATATCATAATGTTTGGCTGATCAGTGGATTTAGAAATAGTCTCAAGGATCTACATTTTCCATTTTCCTCAACAGGGTCCCGATCATCTCAGTTTGGTATGGTTTTGTTGGCTGTTTTGTCTTTTATATTTGTTTGCCTGTTAGATAAATGAGAAAGTAAGACAGAATCCAAAATGGATATCTGGAATATAAAAACAAATGAAAATAATGTTTATGGTGCAAAGACACTTAATATTTGAACATTCTTATTTGTTAGCAAAATGTGCTAAAAATGTTAAGATAGTTCATTCACAACAATGGATCTGGGTAAATTAATGGAAATTAACTTGGCTAAATCTGTCCTGTCCTGCCAGTGATCTAATCTTGTTTGATGTAACAATCAACATCCTTGGTACCAGCAGTGAGGAAATCAGGAGACATATTGCCTTTAAGCAAGTTGGCTGTTAAGAGCCTCTCCAAAATGCTGAAGAGCAATGATGTCAGTTTGAAGACTAAGATGCACCTGATTCAAGACATGATCTTTTCAATCGCCTGTTTTACATCTGAAAGCTGGACAATAAATAAGGATGGCAGAAGAAGAATTGATATTTTGAGTTGTGGCAATGGAGAAGAGTACTGAATATCCATGCACTGTCAATAGAACAAATTGAGATGTCTTGGAAAAAGTGCAGTCCGAGGGCTCCTTGGACGTCTTTCACACTGTGGACATGCTGTGAGGAGAGGCTATCCCTTGGAAAGGGACATAATGTTTGGAATATGGAGGGTCGGTGAAAGAAAGAAAACCCTTAAGTAGATGAATTGACACAGTGACTACAGCAATGGGCTGCAGAGTGTGTCTGAGGTGATGGAGATGGCACTGGATGAGAAAGCATTCAGGTCTGTTGTTGATAGAGACACTAGGAGTCATACTTGACCCAAAACCAGCTAACAATCGCAACAGTTCTTTTTAAGTGACACACACTAGGAAAAAGAATTAATTTTTTTCTTTTTTTCCCTCTTTTAAGTACAATTTAAAAGTACTTTGCCTTTTTGATAGTTTTAATCTGTCAACAGCACCCTAGAAAAAAGAGGGGAAATCTTCCATGCAATTTATAGCCTCTGGAGGGTCAGGCCCGAGTCCATTCTAATTCAATGGCAATTTGAGTGAGTGAGTGAGTGAGTGAGTGAGTGAGTGAGTTACTTGAATGATGGTTTTGGTAACCCACAGGCACCTAGTCATTAAATTCTGTACCTAAAAAAGCAAATTCAAGTACATAATTTCCCAGAAAAAGTAAATAAAGCAAGTTCTTCACAGATAGTAGAACATTTATATTCATATTTCATATTTAAACTCAAAGACCAGAAGTCCCCATCAAAATAATAACCTTCCATCTCTTCAGACACACCCAGGAAATCAGTACTTTTCACAAATCCCTACTAGCAATGAGAAACACATGTTAACTCAAAAATGCAGCGAGAAAACATCTACAGGACTAGATGGCAATTAAAGAGTTTCCCACTTGAACACAAATTGAGCTTCCAAAATCTCTTGAGTTATTCTATCAGGAATAATTATTCCATTTATATATGTTGACACTGTCTGGCTTTTTGCATCACCAACGCTTACATTTAAGATCATACAATTAATGTAAATTAGCCTGTCGGAATATTTGGAACAAATTCTACTGAATTAATCCCTTCTGGACAGCTGCTTTCCTAGATAGACTCTCAGGAGAAAAACAAAGCAACAAAACAAAACACCTTGACTCTTTACAAGAAAAAGTAGCAATAACTAAATAATGTGAAAAGTCAATAACATGAAGAGAAAATTCTAAAATAAACTGAAGAATAACTTAGAAGATTTATTTTAGGAAATCTTTACACAGGGCCAGTAATATTCATACCAAAATGGAGAATCAGCAGCAGATTATTTTGCCCAACTATACACCTAGCAGAGGAAAGCTTCACTCTGAGTGTTATGGGGTCTCCGCCAGATAAATTCCAAAGTTCAGAGGCAGAGAACCTTAGAGCTTACCAACTAGGTGAAATTTACATTCAAACACTTGGAAAGATAGAAAGATAGTAAACACTTGAAAAACATTTACATTCAAACACTTGCTTACAACTTTGAAGTTCCTACAGTGAAGATGTTGTTGCCTCAAGCAGGGACCTGGGTCAGTAGGAATCCCAAGAATCTACTTTTCAAAAAAAAGCAAAAAAACTAGCAGTTAAATAGTCACAGCAGGACTGCTGATGATCTACTTCTAAAACATTAGTAGCATCCATGAATAAGTCACACCTTGAAGACTTATCTGCTCTTTCAAAAGAATGTGTCTTGTACCAATATTCAACTAAATCTTCAAATTGATTCTGCAGCTTGAATCAGCTAAAACTATAGCTATGTTCATGGTTCTTTTATGACAACATTGATGCATTTGGTATCCCTGAAGCTCTCTAGAATGTAAGGTTTAAATTTGTCGGCCAATAAGAAATATTTCTATATTCCACTTTTAGTAGATTTCAGTTATTTGAAACACAAAGTATCCTAACTGACACACACTGATTTTCAATGTTTAATATGCATATCAAATTAGATTCATTTATATATATATGTGTATGTGAGTATAGATTTTTGACCCATTGACACATGATTTTAATTTGGAAAGAGTCTAAGTTTTAGTTTTGCTAAGAGTTCATTACACTTTCAAAATGGAATTGAAAATTCCATAGGTCATACTTCCAACTATTAGAATCAGATAATTGATAGAAGTAATTTTACCTGGAAAGAAATTTTCTCTGAGACTTTAACATGTTGACACAAATAAATGAGTTAAAATTTGGAAATAGTCATACTCAAAAGTATGTTAACTCATTGCACACTCCTGGAAGCCCATTTAATACTTAATACCGTTTTCTAATATGACAATTAAAACATATCAATTCTTCTTTTTAAAAATTTTCATTATTCACCTTTGGTATTATTACTATTATGTGGTTAGTTATCTGTAGAATCATTCTGGTTCACTAGAGTTACTAGTGGTCATGGAGTATGTGTGAAAGGACTTGGCTACAATGCCTGAAAGCCGGCAAAGAATACCTAGAATGGATGGGGCTGAAAGCAGTCTCAGACTTCCTGGAGCAGGTGCCACCATGAAAGGAATCTTGAAATCTCTGTTAAACAAAGACTATTTTCTTATGTTCTTGATGCAGTTGTTTAGAGTGCAGTACCTTGTTCATGAATAAAAAAAGATGTTTTCTTGAAAACTCTTCATGTGATCTATGCTTTGTTTGATATTAATGTTTAAACATTTACCCACCCTATGAGATCATGTGGAGCCAAGCAAACTAAGTCTGCTGTTAGGGACCTCTCCAAAGTACTGAAGAGCAATGGTGTCTCTCTGGAGACTAAGGTGCATCCGATACAGGCCATCGTCTTTGCAATCACTTGTTATGCATCAGAGAGTTGGACAATGACCAAGGAGGACAGAAGGAGAATTGATGCCTTTGAGCTGTGGTGCTGGAGAAGAGTATTGAGAGTACCATGGACTGCTAGGAAAACAAACAGA